AATGCAACTCCCTTTTCCTATTAGCATTAAATAGGTAAAAAATGCCACATAAGCAAAAGTCGCGCTCAGCACCCAAACATGAGGGCGTCCAAGCACCAACTCTATGAACTGGATGGCGTTTAACGCCTTGGATGGGACACCCAGGCACAAGATTGTCGAAGAAAATGGCGCTCAACGCCTTGGTTGGGGCACCTAAGCGTCAACTTTGCGCATCAAATGGCGTTCAACGCCCTAGATGGGGCGCCCAGGTGTGGTATTTACGAGGCAAATGACGCTCAAGGCCCTTGGAGGGGCGTCCATGCGTGATCTTGGCTTCATGAGATCATGCTTTTGATACTCTTGGTGCTTTTTCTGGGTTCTAACGCCTTGATTTGATTGATGTTCTTCCAAAGCACATAATTAACCTAAAAAATGAGGGATTTAGTGATGATATCTCCTAAGTGTAACCTAAACTATAATTATTTACAAAAGCAAAATAAAAGAGAGGATTAAGCAAGTTTCAAGCTAAAGGGAAGATGATTTTGTCTCTAAAATGCACCTAAGATAATGGTAAGAATTACCGTTATCATATATCTCAATCTATTGTGGGTTAGTACATCTCAACCTATGCTGGCTTGGTACTTCTCAGCCTATAATGGCTCAGTACATCTTAGCTTATGATAGCTTGGCACATCTTTGTCTAAGGTGGCTAGGTACATCTCAACTTATATTGATGGCATACCCTTTAGCCATGGTCAAGCATCTACAAGAAGAGTTGAAGTCATCCATGAAGATGGTCTAAACTCTACCTTTCGAGCCATCATGGAGCATAACTTGGAGTAGTATAAGTTTCTTTAGGCCATGTATTTTGGCCAAGTAATGTAGGTTTCTTTAGGCCATGTATTTCAGTCAAGTAAGTAGGTTTGTTTAAGGCTTGTATTAAGACTTAATTAGTATAGGGTTTTTCCTTAAGCTAGACATCCAAACCATGTGGAAAGTATATGTCATGTGTCATGCTTCCATTGGAGCGGATTTAGCTTTAGTAGTGGTCACATGTTCTCTCCTCATTGGAGAGAATTGGTGGGCAATTGTCAATTCCTTAGAAGGCCTCATTTTTGGCCAATGAGTTCAAGAGTGAGAGATCATGCTTTTAAGGTTTTTAAGAGACACCCTTAGCCTATAAATAGATGTGTCTCCTCTATGTACTCATCTTTGATGTTGAGTAAAGTTATGCTATTCATTTTTGGCCATACTACTCATCTTAAGATCAAGAATAGAACAACCCACGAGCCTCCTTTACTCACCTTTCTTTTTGAGTTGCCCTAACCTATCTTAGAGCCTTTAAACACCACACCACCACCATTTAACCACCATATGGTCATGAGCTTCTAGCCTCAAAAATATCATAGGTTCCGTATTTCCTGCTTTATCCTTGATGATCCACCACATTTCTGCATCATATATCTTCAAGGGACCATCTTCATAACATTCTTCTAGCTTTGGCCCAACCTAGCTAGGAGATTGTTATCATATATTAACCTGGTGCATCGTAGTCTTGTTAAAACAAGATCGTTTATAAGATAGAACCGTTTAACACCTTCATGTTTTGAAGTTTAACAAGCAACAATAAACCAAATGAGTATTTAACAAAGTATTATCCTTGTGAAAATAATGAAAAGAGTGTTATAACATCTAAATAAACAAAGAAAAGTTTCAGTAAATGCACTATAACCGAACAATCCTATTGACAATAGACACACTATTACTAAACAATGATTTATTATGAAAAGGTCACTGTAATAAACAATATTTTAGTAAACGCATCAATATTTTACATGATATTTTTGCTAAATGTGATCTTATTATACCTCACTAAACTATGCAATAATGTGATACATGATATTTTTGGTAAACGTACTAAAGCTATAAATAATTCTTCAAAAACAATGTGTTCAACAACACTTTTCTAAACACGCTCTTGTACTAAACAAAGATCCCTAAACGATGAGCTGTTAGTAAATGCCTTTAAAAGGTTAAATGATACCTTACACTAAATGATGTTTTCATCTAATGATGAAATCTCTGTGAATCAATGCTTGGTATCTTTTATAAATGATCTATATGCATAGAAAAATTGACATGCACCAAATCATTTTGAACACGCAGTGCAAAGCATTAAATGCACAACGTTTCAAACAACAAAACTAATAAGGACATATCTGTTAGCATTCATTTTACTCTACTATATGTAGATGTCTATTACACGTATCGATCTTCTCCATCATAAATAAGTCAAAAGTGGACGTTAGAAACAAATAAGACATTAATGAAATGTTCTCTATATTAAAAGTTGTGCTAAAAATTTTATACAACTTACTTTGGTTAAAGTACCTAAACAAGCATGCCTGCTTTGACATGTTGACTTCAATCTATAGTTGTTACCTATGAAAGGCTTCGAAGATATGAAGATTATATACAAGCATTGTCTAACGAATCTTTTCCTTTGAAACCTATAAGTAGAAGATCCTTTGGAAAGAAGATCAAGAAAGACAAGCATAAGAATAACGGAAAGATCATTAAAGAAGTGGAACTCACACTCCTACAAGAACAAAACTCTGAGAATACACTCCCAAGCCTTGTAGAGTCATAAGTTACATCTTTAAGAAGAGAGAAAATCCTACAAGGTCTATTAGATTGAGTTGTATTGTAAACACATCCTCTCTATGATAGTTATCATCTAAGACTTTTAAACAATATGATTGATTGTACATTCAAATCCTTGGTGGTTAGTTCAATTGAGTTAAATGCCTACTAGACAATTGTCTAGGAGAAACCATTTTATTTATAAACCCTACAATAGCTTATGAAGTTAACTATTGATATACACTCTTTTCATAAGACACTATTTTCCTTAACAACTTTTTTTCTTAAACGTTGTAGTAGTTTTACTAAACGCTTGAAAAACACTTTATCTCTAAACGTTGTGGTTTAAATAGTGTCTTATAATCAATCGTTTAACAACCTGTGTAGATCGTCTAACCGTCACCAAGGTTGTTAAACGTCTATGTGACAGCGAGTATAATGTTACCTTTGGAAAAAACCAATGCAAAGTCTTAAACGACAAAGGTCTACTAGTATTTACTACTAATAGGCAAGATAAATTGTACAAAATATATCTAAATGAATTCCAAGCTCAAAGCGTTTCCTGTCTAGTATTTGTAAAAGATTAGGCACTATCATGGCATAATAACTGTGGACATGCAAGTATGAGATTAATCTCAAAGTTGCAACGTCATTACCTTGTGAGAAGCTTGCCTAAAAGACTATTTTACCCTTTAAAAAAATATAAATAAAACAAAGGTTTCCCTTAACTACCTATCTCCCTAGAATTGAACTCACACCCGTTGAATCCTAAATCACTCTTTCATTAACAAGCCAACACATCACATTGATAATATCACACAAACACAAATCACCCAATTATCACATACCAATTATGTGTTGCACTTTTATAATAATAACATGAAATAATGAACATAGCAATTATAATTCTAAGACACGTAAGCTTCACATCAATTACCAAACCGTCCTTATGCCAACACTTTCCAGAAAAAAAAACAAACAGAGAGGAGTTAGAGTTGACTTACCCTAATTCCACTTCCAATCGGTTCAACTGAAAGGTCTTCTCACCATAGACACCTAGTTACTCTCTGATTTTGAATCAAACGAGAAACCAATGTGAACTGTAAAGAAAAGCAAGAAAGAAACGAGAAGAAAAGGATTTCAGAGAGAAGTACAAGTTTTTGAATGGGATACTTTTGTGATAGGATTTTGTTTCTTAAAGCATGTTTTCTCAAATCACCCTATCACATAATTACACATATCTAGTCGATCAGCCCTCTCGAGGACGCTTTTCCCCTGTCCCTGACTCACTGCTCCACTACTATTCTCATGTGTCAACAAAACACCATTCCATTCATAGAGCGTCCAACATATGACAACCAGAGTCGTCTAACACTTTAGCTAGATTCGTCTAACACTCTCAACAAGGACTCATCTACTTATTGTAATTGCATTAGTCGTCTAGTGCATGCATTTTACACTTAGTTGTCCATTTAGTGTAAAACACACACCCCTAATTTGGTGAAACTTCGCCTTTTGTCTAACACTCTAACCAACATACCCTTCTTCCAAATTCGTCTACTTACTTCATAGCTTGGCATCATATAGTCCTCCGCTAGTCAACCCATCATCATTTTCTATTTTCTTATACGTTGTAATTATTTTTATTGTCTTTTGCTTAAGAGACTAACCTTTCTAGATTGATTCTATTGTGAGTTCATAATAAAAGTTTTGTGCAAGTGTTATTCTTCAAATTCTATAAACAAATGCTATATCATCAAAAAATTTAACCATAAAATTATTTTTTAATTTGGTTGATAATTCAAATTTTCTCCATAATTGAAATTCTTGTTATTTTGTTTAATTTTGAAAATTTCTTGTTTATTTAATTCGAGATAAAATAATACAAGTCTTAAACATAGACATTTGAAGAACCTTGAGATATCTAACAAATTAATTAACGTTTGTTTAATTAATTTTATTTTATTTAAAAATTGAATGAATGACAATCACGTAACAATTGATAAAGAATTTAAATGTTAATGAATTGAGAAATTAATACGTTTTTCTAATTTTTTTCCTCTCATTCTTTTAATACATCTATAACAAAACCCTCTTTCTACTTTCTTTCTACCTTATTACGACTTTGGATTCACCAACCTTATTTATACTTTATTCTTTATAATTTTATTTTTTGTGATAGATGATTTTGAACGATCTAATTTTGCGTTAAATTATGTACTCTAGGCGACTTTTAACTTTACATTAAACGATCTAATTTTGCATTAAATGATCTACTCTAGACAATATGTCCATTCATTAAACGATCTATTTTATTTGATTGTAAAAATAATAACAATCAGTCATGGCCATAAACATAGGAATTTGACAAATGTAAGTGCAAGGAAAATCTAAAAGGTTACCAAGTTCCATAAACGGATTACATAAACCCACTGATAAAAATGTTCCCCCATTTTCATTTGTTATCCATGTCATTTCCATACATTAAGCATAACGCACGAGGTGAAGACCTTTGGATGAACCATATTGTACAACAATACATCTCAGCAGCCTCAACCCCAGTTGGTTAGAAGTGAGTAAACCCAATGTTAAAAGAGAATGGCGTGCTACGTACTCTTACTGAGAACATGGAATGAAGGTGAACTAACCTGCGTCATTGAATAAAAGCTTTCTTGTTAAAATTCTAATTGCAACATTTTGTGACGGATTTATTCAGATTGCCACACCGTGATCTGGGTCAGCCCCATCTATGTCAGCATCGTGTGGTCATCAGTAACATTGATTAAAGCAGAAGAAACACCCTTTAGACCTGCCTTCAATATCAACTTTCGGGGTTTCGCCAGAATCATCTCTTCGAGCCATTAAAGCACTTGTACCTGGAGATTCTGGTGGCAATACAGCATTTTTGGATGATGAAATACGCATTGGAGCAACTGGATCGGCCGGGGAAATGGTAATTAGATATCGAAGCAACATCTGTATTATTTGACTAAAATTGGGTCGATCATTTGGTTCCTCTTTCCAACAAGAAGTCACAATCAGAGCCAATTCATCAGGGAGGTCTTCAGCGCTCGGCCTTGTACTCTGAAACAGTTAAGTCAATATTTATATAGTGAATCCTTAGTAAACTCCACGAAAAAATGCAGCACACTCAATGATAAAAACATATCAAACTATGATCGTAGTCATAAAGACCTTGAAAATAACAATTTAAACTCTTGAAGATTACACTATATATGATGTACCAAATAATTTATATATTGGAAAGGGGCGATATTCTTGCAGCATAAGAAACAAGACTAATTCATAACCAAACCAGAGCAATGGTGATAGAGTAAATGCCATTAACCTTGGCTATATAAAATGAAGGATCTACATGATTTGAAAGAATGCCTTTTGTTAAGTGTTAAAAAGTGGACTTTAAACTAAAGTCAACTCTACAAAACTGATATATACATCTCGAGTATGAGATTAAACATAAAGGCCCAATAGAAAGTGGAACAACATGCCCAATAAACAACAAATTTATTAGGATAGACTTTAACCTATGAATTTGATATCATATTAAGAAATGGATTTTAAGCCAACGTGGGACTTCCAACCCACAATATCATGTTAAGAAATTGATTTTAAACTAATGTAAGACTTCTAACATACCCCTCGAGACATATCATTTCGAGCGGATTTTAAGTCAATATGAGACTTTCAACACACCCCTATCACGCCGAGGTATATCATCTTAAGCATGGAACTAGACATTAATGGGTTCTCTGATAGCGGTTAGAACAAAATGCCCAACAAACAAGAAATTTGCTAGAATAAGCTTTAACCTAAGACTTTGATATCATGTTAAGAAGTGGACTTTAAGTTTAACTCAATCCTACAAAACCAGCTTGTACAGTAAGGTTTGCATCCATTTATATACTTCATAAATTGACCATATATCTAATCAATATGAGACTTCCAACATTAAGTAATAATCAAATCTTAATTTTACTCTATTTTATGCTTTTTGTTTTCAAATATTTAAACACAGAGTTGTAAACACAACATTTTAGTTCCTCCCCATGTGATCATTCCATGCGATCATTCCATGCATAAATCTTTGAAAACATAAATCAGAGTGAACTAAAACCTCGAAATAAAGGTTTAAGGGTCTGGTTCAACAGACTTCTGCATAAGTTTTGGAAAAGAAAAACAAGACCAAAATTTAATTGATTTTTACATGAGTTAAAATTAGTTTAAGCATGAACTGATATAGAAGCTCTTTCGTATAGCTTCTCCAATGTTTTACTTTTAATTTGTGCATAAGCTATGTTTCAGCAGTTTTAATTTTAATTTCGTATACCTTCTAGTTATGATAGGAGATGGCTTGCTAGAGGTAACAAATTATTCAAATGTTATGACTTTGAGCATAATTCATTATGGTAAGCACCAGATGAAAAGAATGTTATCAACCTTAAATGCAGCTGCATATGCAGCCTGTAGATTTGACATGCCTTCAAAAGGCAACCTATTATGGATGAGCTCCCACAGCACTATAGCAAAACTGTAGACATCCACCTTATGGTTGTAATGTTTCTTCTCCCCTTGTCTTAGAGTGACAGTGCTGTAAAGCTGTAACCAAACAAGGATGAAATGGTAAATTACTAACATGGATCACCAAACTGAAAAAATAATAAATTGTTCAGTTTTTGACAATTAAGAAGTACTTCTGGAGCCATCCAACGATATGTCCCTGTCTCAGCAGTCATCATCTCTGCTAAGGACTCTTCTCTGGCTAGACCAAAATCTGCAAGTTTAACAGTTTTATGATCTTCTGTCAAGATCAAGTTATCTGAGATGAAAACAGAAAATTTGATCAGAATTCCACTAGATCGTAAAATAGATAGATATTCCTTGATAGATATTAAGCTGTTTCTTTGTAACATCAGTTCTATAGAAATATGAAGCTGTTTCTTTACCCAAATATTTATTATCTCGATGGTCCATCGAACACCTTAGAAGTGAATGAAGGAATTGCCTACATTTTTTCATCCGCTAAAAGTATATTTTTGGTCCTTTACATTTTACTAAAATTCATTCTTATTCTTTAACTCTTGAATTTGAGTTGATGTTGTCATTCTGAAACTCTAGTAGATTCCCATTTTGGAGAACGGTTTTGAGCCGATTTTTAATTGACTCAAATCTTGAAATTTATCTTACTAGAGTCACCAACTTGAAAGTATGAAATGAGAGTAATTACCAAAGCAAAAAGGGCATAAACAAAGAGGACAATGTGAGAAAAGTGACTCTTACAAGTAATGGAAAAAGAATCTTGTTAGGTTTCTTGCTGACAAGAAACCAAGCCTTCCCTCTGTTCTGATGACAGAACACACAACACACACTCACAGTAGAAAAACCTTGTATTATTATATGGGTAACAAAGAGAATGTTCAATGACATCCAAGGGAACTATCTCCCTTCTCACAGGTACAAACCAGTCCACAACAGAGATACAAAATCGTGTCTGTCTCAAGATACCTTCCCCTTATATATAGTCATCCCCCAAGGGACACTATAACAGCCTAATAACATATACATTTTACCCTAAATTATGAGATGGTATCAGAGCTCTCAACATCTGGGAGCCGCCTCTAACTGCTCACTAAAACCCTAGCCGGCAACCTTCATTGCTGCCACTCTCTCTTTCAAAACAGCCTTCATTGTTGTTGCCAACACAACTCTACACTATATCCTTCATTGCTGCAGTGTTCTTTCTTTTGTAGTGCTTTTCCTTTCAAATCTCGTCTCACTGGATTACCATCGTTCTGCTGCTTGGACATGGCAGACCAAACTATGGAAGTGGTGCCTACTGCATCACAAACCAATCAGGAACAACTCCAGAACCTCAACACTACCTACCGCTTAAATGGAACGAATTATTTGAAATGGGCCCAGCTTGTTCGCAGAACTTTAAAAGGTAAAGGGAAAGCTAACTGTCAGAATATGTGAATTATTGTGCAATTAATATAGCAATTATGTGTAATCCTGCAATTATATCTAATCCCTAAAATTAAGGGATTAGGATTAGTAATTATTGGGCAGATTTCCTTTTATTAAGATAAGGTATTATTGGGTAGATATCTCATGATTTAGAGACTTTATTTCAAGAGATTTTTTAACTTAATTAGACAATAGTTTGTTTCTTTTTAAACACTTATGTATTGTTTCAAAAGTATGAATGAGAGAATAATTAATTCCAGCATCCTACTACTGTTTTACAACATGGTATCAGAGCTCTAGGTTTTTCCTGGAGCCCTGGTCTTTGTTTTTTGTCTCACGGCCTTCATTGCCGTTCCTCAACTATTGCTGGCCTTCATTGCCATTCTCGTC